AAATGAAAAATAATATAAATTAGTTTTTTTTTTATCAATAATATGTAAATGTGACTAATTTATAAAGATAACATAATGTTTAAAATTTTAAATCTGCTATTTTTTTTCAAACTTTTGTTCTAAAAAGGATAACGATAACGGGTTGTCACCGGAAAGTAAGCTCCAATGCGCTCACAGTAGGTTGAAAAAGTAAAAAAAAAATTTTTGGTGTGGGGGAGGGCGGAAAAACATTGGCACCCGGGCGCCAAATTTCTGAATACGTCTCTGGGTGGGGTGGATCTCTGACTAGGGTAGGTTAGATTTGAATGCAATGAGAGGTATCATTGTATATGAAAAACTATTCTGAACGGAGATGATTTGTCAGTCTAAGATATATTATATTTAAATATTGTCATATATTCTATTTTGAAACAAATATATTATTTTTTAATTAGGACGCATTTTGCATAAGGCATGGTTAATCAATTTTTCAAAAAACATTGCATGTAGTTATCATAATTCATAATACCTTATATTATCATAGATAAAATATAATACATATACCTGGTTTGAGGATAAATCGTTAACGTTACGCGATTCCATAAAAATTTAAAACTTAAACGCTCAAAACATTTTTCCTATAATGATACTTCAAATTTTCTCTACAATTATTTGAAGCAAAACTTATGGAAAACTTAGTGTTGAACTTTTTAACCCTAGATATAAATACAAATACTTTGAAAATATTCATGGTTTTGACGAATTTTTGTCAATATTTGAACTTCAATTGCTAATAAAAAAATTGTGCCTATGTATTCTTATAATTTTTTAATCACTATAAGAATAACTTATGAGGAACTTTGTAATAAATTTTCAAGTATTTTGATTGGGCCAAAAAAATTTGATCGACACTTAAAAAAAAATTTTCAGAAAAATTTAAAATTTCAGTTATCTATAAATATCTCAAAAAAAGTCAAAATATTTTGAAACTTAAATCATGTACATGGAAATATGTCAATCTAAATAACTGGTAAAATTTTYAAGTATCTACGACTTATACTTTTTGAATAATAACAAATGTTTAAAATCGTTTGTGTATAAATCGTTATCGTTACGCAATTTCATAAAAAATTAAAATTCAAACGCATTTAAAATTTTTCTTATAATAATGATGCTTCGAGTTTTCTCTATAGCTACTTGAAAGAAAACTTAGTGTTGTATTTTTAATCCTTAGTTATAAACACAAAATCTTTTATGATTTTTCAACCTCAAAATGACTTCCACATTTTCGCGTTTTCGACAGATTTCGTAAAAATTTGAACTATAAACGCTTATAAAAAAAAATGTATCTAAAGATTTTTAATTTTTTTTAGCTACAATAAGAAAAACTCATAAGGAACCTTGTATTAAATTTTGAAGTTTTTTTGGTCATCCAACATTTTTTTACCGACACTTCAAAAAAAGTTATCATACAAATCGAAAATTTCAGTGGTCTATAAATAACTCAAAAAAAGTCAAAAATTTGTGTAAATTAAACTGTATATAGATAACACTAACATAAACATTAGACTAGACTTGTACACAGACACAAAAAAATACACACACACACACATCATTGTAAAATCAAGACATTCATCACTCCGTTCAGAATCTAAAATAACAGTAGGTATATATATTTAAAATGTTTACCACAAAAATATCCAATCTATTCTGAAAATAGTTTCATGTCTATCAATGCTATTATTAGTGATGGACAAACCAAAAGCAAAACTATGGCACTGTCTTTGTCTTGGTCTCGCTCTCCAAGTCTTGGTCTTGCTGAAAGACTCTTGCGATATTAAAAAAAAAAAATTATATCCCTATTTATGCCGAGTTTGTAGAATTTGTTAATTGTTTATTATCTCTAAGATAATATAACTATATTAATTACAATATAAATAGATATGTATATATATTATATATATGACTGTTGTATAGGAAAACATATTTATGCCTCTTTCCTATGTGCAGAAATCAAATGTTTTTTTAAGCCCGAAATGTTTGTATTCTTTATTTGAATATGAATTGTCTTTTAATTTTTTTCGCACAATTTACACTTGCCGGATATCTGATTTTTATTAGTGATAATTTCAAAAAAGTCACTAAGTTAACTGTGGGACTATGAATGGGTTGTTGAATCCATATTTACACTAGTACTATCCTGAACACTCATTTTCATAAATAATAAATATCTATTACGTATAACAAAATATGTATACCTAATTGCTTAAACGCCAGCGTCGGAAATACGACGATCGACATTCGACATTAGTATTAGTACAATAATAGTAGGTACCTATATACAATATAATTATATTCTGACAAAATTACACGAATAGCAAACGAAATAAATTCATACAATATAATAATAAATACCCAAGTACCAACTTTAATTAAATACAGTTATTAGATTTCTATTAAGGTTTTGTATTGCTATATTTTGTTACAAAACCATCTTATAGTCGTATGGTATCTAATTATTTATTATCTTATTTTCAATTTCAATAATTCATTATTTTCTCAATTCCTGAAATGTGTTCTACGTCAAATGCAATATTACGTTTTTATTATATATTTATATTCCTAATAATTTAATTATTTTAACCTACCCCTAATGACGTGTTTTCCAGGAACATTAAAAAAAAAATTACAGTAAAATATATTTCAAGACTCTTGCAGTGTGAGGTCTTGTCTTGGTTTTGGTCTTGCAGACTTAGTCTTGGTCTTGGTCTTGCAAAGCAATTCGTAGTATAGATCTTGCTACAAGACTAAGACCAAGATAATTTTGCCCATCACTAGCTATTGTAAAATATATTTGGTTAAAATGAGAAGTTATTATTATTATTATTATTCATTTTTAGAATATAACAAAAAAAAAAAAATCAATTTTGCAGTTTTAGCGTAAGAGTGATCCCATATTTTTTAGACTTTTCCAATTATTTTTAGTTCTGTGCATTTTTTGATTCGCTTTTATACTTGAAAAAAAAATATTGAAGATGAAGATTAGAATTTGTTTTCTGCTCTACAAAATATGTGACAAACACAAAACCATAAAAGCCCACCTTGTTGTAAAAGCGTAAAACCAATTTTTTTGTAGTAGGTATTTATACACGGTCAACGTCCTTTCAAATATATTAAATTTCAGTCTAGAAGATACGTAAAATGTTAACTAAACAAAAATAAGTAACCCCTCTCCACACATTAACACTGGTCAAGTTTACATTTAAATTTGTTTTATACTACTAGTAATAATTTTTAAAACGTGAGATCTACTGTATAGTATAACATGGTATAATATGTTATGCGTTCTTATTATATTATTATTTAACGGTGAACTAATAATCTACGTGTCCGAGGACAACTTCGTCATAGGTGCTTACTTTTTCAACCATAATAAATATGGTTATGTGTGTTATTATTAATCGTCTATGCACCAGTATACATATAATATTAATATATACTTATATATCTACAATATACCTCAATATATAGATACACCTGTGCATGTATCTAACACGCACACGCACACACACCCAAGCGTGTAGACGAAACGGAACTGGTTTGGATCGAGATCGTCCCCTCCACGACTCCACCCGTGTCACGATCACTGCTACCACGCCACCACCTCCACATCAGCACCACCACCGTCACGTCCACCTTCCTCCCAAAAACACCAAAACCGTGTAATGACTATAACAGACGAACCGTGGTCGTAGTACAACCACAGCTCGAAACAGTCTTCTGAAGACGTCGCGCGCGTGTTTGTCGATATCATTGCACATCCATATCCACAACGCGTGTTTTCCACCAACTTAGGTCGTGTCCGTAATTTTCACCGCAGTTCAGCGCTGGTCTTGCACTGGCATTCGCCCTCTACGAAAATCACGTCCCAGACGGTTATGCGCTGCTGTTAGAAGCGATCGATACGACCACTAGCTGACCAACCACGAGAAACAACGAGTAAGTCTAATATTCTTATTATTTCTTGTTCTATTCGTCTTATTACGCAATTACGCACGCGCACTTTAGAATTTATATCGAATATATTTATATATTACTAACCAGGTGAGTAGGCATGGTAGTCTCGTAGTCTGCCAGTTATGCAAGCGAGGCGTAAAGATGTTTTATTGTTTTCTCAAAATAATTAAATAAATCGCCCCTTTTTCGAAATTATCTCTGTGTAACATGTATTCAGAAGGTACGCAGGGTTTTTACGACGAGCGGGCGGTGGCAATCGAATCGTTGCCAGAGTCTACGTGAACTCGAAATTCGTCATTTTTGGAGAAAGGATTACAATATAAAATATATAAACGTCGGTTGCCTTTAGTTGCAATGCACTCCCCTTCCCCCTCCTTATACTCGGTCACTGTTTTCATTCCCTCGTGAGATTCTGACATAACTGGATTTTTTATTTTTTTTTTTTACGATTTCCAACGAATGTGAAGTTTCCGACTCTTCCCTCGACTAGTGATCCTGGTTAGAAATTGTTTAACTTTAAAATATATTATTTTGCTATGAAATCACGTAGTTTTTTATAACTCTTAGAATCTTAAAATATTCACTACCAAAATAAAATTTAAAAAAAAATAGTATGAATATATAAATTGTAATTTTAACGAATTTCAGTACTCGCTACTACAAAAACCAAACTTAAACACAAATAATGTAAGTTAGAAATATTACCCAATGTTTTGTCTAACGGATTAAACATTTTTAAGTTCGTTTTGTATAGACTGTACTTCAACACGATTATATTATATAAAACGTAATATTTTCAGTTGTTTATTAATATGCAATATTTTTTTTAAAAAATAACTGAATAAGAATTCGTATTTTAATAATATAATATAAAATGACAACTTATTTTGTCAATTGAAACACAAATTGACGAAATATATACTATATTCAACTAAAGTAACCCGTTAATAGGTATACGATTTAAATAAAATGATAAATGTTTAACATTGCTATTCATTTAAATTTGCATTGGTTGGTAGTTGTATAATTTTGTGATTTTATTAAGAAGAAACTTAAAAGTGGCTGCAAATACGTTATCTACAAGACATAGTCGAGTCGCGATAACTCAGAACATTTTACAACTCAATTTTTGTTTTTATTCCGCAAGATAAATTCGAAAAAGGTATCTCGAAACGAATTTTTATCCCCCTTCAACTACGAGTTATCRTGACTTGAGTGTATAAGGAATCCTTAGATTTATAATTATTGTAGTTAATTATAATTTTGGTTTCCAACGATATTATTAGATCTATAACATTAGCGTATTAGAACACCTATAATTATGTTTATAATTATAATTATGTTGAATTGTATGAATACTTCATAAAAATCATAATTTAGTTGTTAACAAATTAATTATTATTTAGCTCAAAATAAAATATTGTTAAATTTACTGTATSATAGATTCTTCATTTTATTATTCATGAAATGGAATGAGTCTTAGTTTTTTTTTCCGTAAAACGATAAGAACATTACCTATGTTTTGGTCAATATATTTTTAAAAGATCCTTAGTTTAAGCGTGAGCTATTTTTATATACGGCTTACAATCAATAAAATTATCATTTTTATGCTTCCAAGGCTATTGTTTAAGTTTTGAGTATTTATTTTAGATTCTGAACGAAGTAAAGAATTCGTTGATCTTACAATTCTGTTTTTTAATTTTACATCTCTCAATTTTTTTCCTTTATCAAAAGCGGGCTTTAGGCTTAATGACTGGTAACTACCGTCACTGGTAACAAATTATATTTAAATTGTGTTTTGGACACATTTTCATTGAGCATAACTAAAAATAACAAAAAATTGAAATACATTTTTATGATAATGTGTGATGGTATAAAAAATAAAATATTGAATTTTCATTTGTTTTTTGTTTAAAAATATTACATACCTATTTAATTATTCAAAAACAGTGACTATTTAGTATTTAATCAATTATCTACGGTTCTCTGACTTGCAGGCTTCTCTTTGAAACCACCAACCCGCTCACTGCGTCTCCGCACTCGTCTAATGGTATAACGCCAGTTCCAACGTCACCCGATTATCATATTATTATAGCGTATTATGAGAAATAAGAATCGTACATTATGTTGCCCCATAAAAATCACTACTCGATTGTCGTCCGTTATTATTGATAATAATTATAATAATAACGATAATAATAATTTGTTTGTCAACACGCGTCGTCCGAAACAATGACGGACAGTGATAAATTGAACCTGGAAAATTCATAGTCTTACTCTTGGGATGTAATGGACTCCACGTCCGTGTGCGAACGTATGCGGGCACTTTTTTTAATTATCGTTTTTCTAATTTTTAAATTTCTCAAATTTTGAAAGTAAAATTACGGAAAAGCGACCAGTGGTGGATTTGATGGGGGAAGCGTGGCGATTTTTTTTTTTACTTGAATTATAGCGCCGTATGATAAAATGAATATGAAATTCATAAGTCATTTCCAACTTCAAACWTGTATATATAAATTATACAAAAAAAGATACTTTTTTAATATGAAAATCGAAAATGTGTATTCAGTTATGTCTTTGGATAATATGGGAAAGAAAGCGATTGCAACATTTTCAAAAAAAATCCATATTCGGTAAAAAATTATACAATAATAAAGTTAACTTTTCACAGTCTTGTTGTTTGCCGGGAGATGAACAAGACATACCTCAACCGTTTATTGTAGTTGGAGATGAAGCATTTGCTTTACGTACTAATCTTTTACGGCCTTTCCCCGGAAAAAGTCTGAACGATAAAAGCGTATATTCAATTACCGCCTATCGAGAGCGAGACAAAATATCGAATGTTCATTCGGTATACTTTCTTATAAATGGAGAGTATTTCATACCACTTTATTAGTTGAACCGAATTCCACAATCGCAATAACAAAAGCGGCATGTGTTTTGCACAATTTTGTCTAACAAAGAGATGGGTACTACTCTGAGGATGCTCAGACTTGTAACATGGAAAATATAACACGAAGAAATGGAGTAGGCAATTCCACATCGAATGCAAAAGACGTGAGAGAATATTTTGTTAATTATTTCAACAACCTAGCTCATGAATTAAGTTGTCAAAACAAGCTGATATGAAATTAATGTATTATGAAAATTTAAAGTGTGTGGTACACTGGTACATACTTAAACATATTATTATAATTTTATATTAAATATTTGCATATCTTAATTTGTAATATTAATTATTAGTTTGTACAAATACAGTTTAATAATATTCAATCAGTTAATCAAATTCTAATGTATAAATAAAATTATATTAATCGCTTATTTTTCGCCTTTGTTCATTTTCTTCAATTGTTTCAAAATACTTTTTGGCTATTTTAGTTCAGCTGACATGTTTGTCAGCAACTTTGTTATGGTATAATTTTGATTCTATATAAATTGGTACGTATTAATATAATATATATTGGATAATCATTCAAAATAATTGAAATAGGTGTAGGTATAGCTATCATTTTTATAGGTATCTATTAACCAGTTTTAAGCAATATAATGAAAATAATAGTTAGTTAATTTAAATTATAACATTATCTTCACATTGGAAAAATGGTACATTATATTATACATAATTACATTGCTAAAGTCTCTGACTCTCGAAAAAGTATACATTTTTTTTTAGTATTTTAAGATAAATAACACAAAACTTACATATATTCCATATTATGCTTTCCTCGTAAGAAACTTCAATAATAAAAGCTTCGTTGTCGAACATTTTACATGAACTACGTGAATCATCAATGAAATGTAAAACACAAATGATGAATGAAATCGTAAAATATAAAATAAACGCGACGTTTCGGCGGGTAAAACGCCCAATGTGAATAATAACATTGGAAATACTTGGTTTAATTTTTGAGCGTTCGCGCGATCAATCGCCCAAAATTAAACCAGCGCGTATTTTATCAGTGTGAATATAGCCATACTAATACGGCTGTTTTATTTTGAACGATTAAATCGCGACGTTCAAAACGCACAGAGACGCGCGTTCGAATCGCCTAGTGTGTAATCCACTTAATAATACAGATTAAAGAGTAAAGACTCTGGTGTAATTTATTGATATCACTATAAGTATTATTTTATATTTTACATCGGTATCCAGTAGATATTTACAGTACATCTTATGAATGTAAAATGGCGTTGGTTCGTCGAATATCCGTAGAATGTAAAAATAGCTTAAAATTAGTTAAAATCAATATAGTATGATTGTGTATAGAAAATAATAATATATGCAATTGCGAAAAGTTTCAAGTAACTCCCCATAAATATTTTTGAAATTAAGTACTTTGTACATAGGTATATATACTAAAAAAAATTTAAGGAGATATAATTTTACGTTTGAACATCAAAATATGAACTTGACTCCTAAAATGTGTGTGTCGAGTTAAGATTAATTGTTATGTTAACGTTAAGAGTTTTTAGAATTCCAGTTAAAAAAAACGTATCCAAAATCTAATATTTTTCAAGTTCAAAGTATGACAATTTAAATTAAATTTTTTTTACTACAAATGAACAATATAATTTCAAATCGTGATTTTACGAATGTTGTCAAATCTTGAAATCCTGCAAAAACTTATAACTATCTGTAACTATGTATTTTAAATGTTGTAGTAAAAACACTTTTGTTGATTACATTTTTATTTTTTAAGCTTTTTTTGTATTTCAATCAAAAATTGTATCATGCACAAGAAAAAAACAGCTGAAAATTTCAAATATCTATGAATAACTAAAACGAGTCAACATTTTGAAAATTATATCATCTTTTTAGACAGCTTGTATAAATATTTGGTGTAAAAAGTCTATACTTTTCATTTTTGAATAAAAACAAAACGAAACCTATTTTGTCGGATTCGTGTGTTGTAATATTTTTCCTAATTATTTTGAATTTTTATTATACCAACTAGATCAAATTTACTATCAGAAACCATCTT